CCGTTGTGGCGCACGGCGACGACGCGCTTCGGCGACACGTCGCCGGGCAGCGTCGAGGCCCAGGCGCCCGCGGCGAGGCCGCACGCGGCGTCGAAGGACGCGTGGAGCGCCGCGTCGACGGCGTACGCGCCGACGTCCCGGACGCTCCGCGGGCCGTAGCGCCAGGCCGCCACCGCCGCCCAGCGGCAGGCGAAGCCGCCGCGCCGCAGCGCCGCGTCGAGGTGCTCGGGCCGCCAGCGCTTCCTCCGCAGCGCGTCGAAGGTCGCCAGGCAGCCCGCCCGGTCCGCCCCGCAGGCGCCGCAGCGCGCGCCGACGAGGTCCTCGAGGCTCGCCGTCTCTCGCTCGTCGCGGCGCACGTCCGCGCAGGACGCCGCGGCGACGGCGATGGAAAGCGCGACGCGCACGAGGCGCGCGAGCATCTCGCTGCGGGAGAGCACTACATCACGTCGAGGCAGCCGAGCAACGAGCCGACAGTGCCGTCGCGCTGCCGTCGCGCTACCTTTGCTGCCCCAGCGGGAGTACAATGGTCTGATCCGTTGATCTGCGTTCCATCACCGATGGGGTCCGGTGGATCGACGCCGGCGGACGGGGCCGACGCGCCGCGACCCGGCTCGGCGAATCGCCGGAGCTTCAGCGGGCGCGGGCGCCTGGGCAGCTTCAGCGGCCTGGCGCCGCGCGCCCACCGCCGGAGCTTCGCCGGGGCGGCCCCCGAGACGCCGACGGTGACCCAGAGCGAGCGCACCCGCAGGGCCCCGGCGCCGCCGCGGCGCGCGACGACGATCTCCGCGCCGAAGCGGCGGGGCAGCGCGGACGTGGGCCTCTCGCGCGACTTCAGCTTCCGCAACTTCGCGGCGCCGCCGGCCAGGAGCCCGCGCGGCGTCGACGACGGCGGCCTGGCCACGTACGTCGCGCGCACGTCGCCGTCGCGCGCGGCCGGCGAGGCCTCGCTCGCGTGCGGCGCCGCGCCGCGCGGCGAGCCGGACGGCGCGGAGGCGCCGACGCGCGTGCGCCTCGGCGCGGAGAGCACGCGCGTGCTCAGCAACCTCGTCTTCTTCGCCTGGCTGCGGCGCCAGTTCGCCGACGCCGCCGCCCGGCTCGGCTGCGAGCGCGTCGCCGCGGCCATGGCGAGCGTCGACCACGCGACGTTCGACGACGGGTCGCACGACCCCGCGGCGCGCCAGCAGGGCGCCGACGGTCGCGTCGTCGCGTCCGTGACCGCCCTGCTCGACGCGGCCGCGGCGGCGAGGGACGACTTCGAGGCGTGCCTCCGCGCCTGGGCGCCGGGCGCGGCGCTCGTCAAGGTCCGGGTCAAGGGCGCGCGGCGGAGCGGCGAGAAGGCGGAGCACGACTACAACGCGCGGCCGCCGCCGGCCTGCGCCTGGATCCACGACGCGCTCGGCGCGAAGCTCGTATTCGACGCGGCCGAGGGCCTCGCGGCGGCCCTGGACGTCGTCGCGGGCGAGGCCGACGTGCTCCGCGTGAAGAACCGCTTCGCGAGCCCGACGCCCGCGGGCTACCGCCCGTGTGCAAATCAAATCTTCAACCCGACTTCAATGTGAGCGTATTCGAATGTTTTGACACAAGAACTCCACTGTGCTTCGAGAACTCGATGAGAGCGATCGACTCGTCCAAAAATCAGCCGAATCGACTTCGATTTGACCGAGCTAGAGAATTTCAAAGTTTGGTCGGGACGTCCCAAACCAGTGGTTGATTTGCACACAGGCTACCGCGACGTCACGCTGCTCTGCCGGCGGCGCCTGGGCGAGGGCGTCTTCGTCGTCGAGGTCCAGTTCTGCCTCGCCGAGCTCCTCGACATCGAAAAGCGCTACGCGTCCCACAAGGTCTACGAGGAGTTCCGCGACTACTTTGGGGGCGCGGACGACGCCGCGGTGTCGAAGCGCGTCGCCGTCGTCGACGCGCTGGGCTGGAAGCTTGCGGACCCCAAGGCGGACATGGCCGAGGTCGTCAACGACGTCTATCGCTCCGACGACCCAGAGGAGCACGAGGCCATCGCGGATCTCATGGACCTCGTGGGCGACTTCTCCGCGTCGCTCGCGCTCCGGGACCGGCTCGAGTCCCTGCGGAGCGGCGCGCGGGGCCGGAGCGCGTCGCTGGCCCTGGGCGGCCGCGACGCCGTCCGGAGCGGCCACCGGCGGGGCGTCGCGCTCCTGCGCTGCGGCGAGGCCGTGCGCGGGTACCGGGCCCTCGCGGACTGCCTCGTCGCCGCGCGGGCGCTCGGGGACGACGACGTGCTCGCGGAGGTCCTGGACGCGACGGGCGTGGCCGCGGCCGAGGCCGGCGAGCCGTCGCTCGCGCTCGCGTACCTCAAGGAGGCCCTCGACGTCATGCGCGGCGGCGGCGACGCCGAGTTCCCCCGGGTCAACGTCGGCAAGACCATGCACAACGCGGGCGTCGCGCTGCACCGCCTCGGCGAGCACGATTTGGCGCGCGCGCAGTTCGCGCGCGCGCTCCGCGTCCGCGCGGCGCTGCTCGCGGAGCACAGCGTCTCCGTGGCCTCGAGCCGCTTCTGCCTCGCGAACTGCCTGAGGGACCTCGGCCGCGAGGACGAGGCGCTCGTCTTCTACGACAAGGCGCTCCGGAGCTACCGGGGCTCCTGCGGCGCCGCGCACGCCTACACGCGCAACTGCGCGACGAACTTCGCCTTGCTCCTCCAGGCGCGGACCAAGCGGACGGCCGACGAGGAGGCCAAGCTCCGGGACGTGAAGCGGCTGCTCAAGCGGCCCGCGGCGGACGCGCGGCGGCGGCACGCGTCCGCGGCCGGCGCGTCCCAGGCCATCTCCCTGTCGGCGCTGTCGCTGGGCCTGTCCGCGTCCGTGGCCGCGTCCCGGGCCGTGTCCGACTGCCCGTCGCTCGGCGTCGACTACGCGCGCGACCTCCGGGCGTCGGCGGCCGCGGCGCCGCGCGACCGGCGGAGCCACGCGCTCAAGTACGACGAGAGCGGCGTCGCCAACGCCTACTCCATCGTCGTCCCCGGCGGCGCCGCTCCCGCGGCGGACGCGGGCGGCGACGCGCCGGCGCCGGCGGACGGCGAGTACGCGCCGGGCAGCCTGCTCGTCTACAACGCGCCGGACCGGGCCTACTCCTTCGTCGTCGAGGCCGTCGTCGGCCGCGGCGCCTTCGGCGTCGTCCACATGGTCGAGGACGTCGAGCGCGGCGTGCTCGCGATGAAGTCGCTGACGCCGACGTCGCGGCAGCACCGACTCGAGCTCGAGGCGAGCCTCTGCCGCGAGGCGGGCGTGTCCTTCGCAGTCGGCACACACCAGAACGTCGTGGCGATCCGCCGCGCGCTCGTGCCCGCGCCGGACGTCGTCTCGAACGTGCGGTCCACGCTCGTGTTCTGCGACTTCGTCGACGGCATGACGCTCGACCGCTGGGCCGCGCGCGACCGGGGTGCGCCCTACCGCGAGGGGCCCCTCTACGACTTCGACTGCGACGACTTTTCGAGCGTCACGGGCCGGCTGCTGGGCCTGGCCATGCAGCTCTACCGGGGCCTCGCGCACATGCA